AATTAGAATTAAAGCATAGAATTAGATATAAAACTAGCGAAGAATTAGATGTAGAATTAACATATATAGATTAATAGAGTTTTGTAAGTAAATACTGTTAAAGATTAATTAAATTAATAAATATATGCTGTACTTACCCAACAACAACATTCAGTGGCATTTATCTTAAAACTTTAACTAAATTTCTCTTAATTTTAATTAAATTTTTTTTTTCAATTTTTCAGTTTTTTTTATTTTATAAAAATTTATGATTTTGATTGGTTAATCAACATGTGATATTTTTCACATGACATAAATTTACTGTAAGCATATAAAAAAAAATTTGTTTATTAATTGTGTGATGGTTTGAGTGACTCAGATAAAGATTTCCTAATTTGGGATGGTCTCTCCTATTGGTTCGAACCTCATAGAAGGATATTTATCTGATTGGTTGATGCAAATTAATTACTTGAGTAACTTATTTATACACTTTAAAGTACTTTTTGAGAACGTAACATTTCACTAGTAAAAAATCACCACAAAAGATGTTTTTTACTTCAAAATAACAGCAATATTCACTATACAAAATATTCAGACAAACATCATACTCCTGACAAACCTTGCTTAGAAAACAAAAATATCATTTGCTAGTAGTATTGCAGAGCTATGTATGATTACAATATGCAAGAAAAAGTTGTTCAACTGGAGAAGTGTAAATAAAAATAGTATTTTGAAAGCACAAGCTAACAACACTCTACCTAATTATATTAATATAGGTGAGATAATTTGTTTAAATTGTTATAATGGAATTGTGAGTAGCTCGGCTAAATTTTGACAGATTCAAACTACTGTAGTATGAAACAACCTGAAACCATTGAGATTGGAACTATGAGCGTTAATACAGAAAGATCTGAAATTGTTGAAGCTAATGAAACTGAGAGCACCAATCCTTTGTCTTTTTCAAAAGTGATAGAGGTGATGACGAATATTTATATATTCATGAAAATAGAAAAAAGAACTAAACCTATATACATTTGATGAATTTTGGACAGTTATAGAAAAGGAGGATACTAGGTTAAAAATTTTTTTTGATGAATTATATCTTTCATCTAACCTGGTATCAAAAAATAAAGATTCTCAGGAATGGATAAAAAAACAACTTTTATTTATTTGTTACTTTTTATGCAGAATTCAAAACAAATTTGTTAATAATGCTAAGAGAGACTTAACATTGTATATCGATTCAACTGGTGCTTTTAACACTTTAATTGACACACTTGCAGATTTAGGTATAGTCATTACATCCTGTATGATCACATGACATAAAACTTAAGCATCTGAAGAGTATGAAAAAATTATTGATTCTGAACCTGACAAGCATACAGACAAAATAATGGTGCTAAATATCAATAACTATTATAATATTTATACAAAACGAATGCTGAATACTACTACAACATCTGCTGCAGCACACTTAGCAACAATTCTTATAAATCTTGTTACCACACAGCCTGCGATTCCGAAAACGAATATACACAACTCTGCACTGATCAATGCTAACTTAATTAAAATTAATATAACAAATAGATTTATAACGTCCTTTAGTCTTTTACATAATTGACATTGTGAATTTCATATTGTTAATAATGACACAAGATTTAACGAATTAACTGTACACTCTTACAATATTAGGTTAAAGAAAAAATGCAATGTTCGTTTAATAAAAGATGTTGTTCTTGTCAATTTACAAGTAAATAAACTTCATTTATTAGAAGATTATATTAAAGCCATCAATGTCATTATGGATGTTCCATCCTTGTGCAATATATCGACAAAGGGCATATTATTTCTATTGTTGCGGATTAGTCTGGACAGATTTACTTCAGAAGAGCTATTTCGCATTATTTGTGTTATCGTGATTCATCAAATATTACTGATAATATTTTATCTTTTCTTCCTATTATAGGTTCTTTGCATATATCACTAAATAGCTGTGAATTAGTTTTCCTTCAATATCGGCTATTTTTTTCTGCAATGTACAAGTATGTTTTTAGAGAAAAGAAGCCTCTTGCAAAAAATCCTAAACTATGGCACATCAACCTCATTTAAGAAATTTCTCATAGTGCATAGCAAGAAATTTCTTCAACAGTTGAAGCCAAATTCGGATCACTGTGCAAAGATGCTGAATATCTTGCACTTAAAGATCTTCTTGACAATATGATTCCCCTTGTTCTAGATATTTACACTGTTTTTTTTCAATCTGGAGATTTTAATGCATATTTCGAATTTTGTTTTTGCATCTGGACAATAATTTTTAGGTTTCGTCATAAAAATTATTCAAAAATGTCTTTAATGTTCCTCTCTGATATTTTTTTCTGTGAGCAAAACAATCAACCAATTTTAGAAACAATAAAGACAGAGCTCACTAAGTTTTCAGATATAACTGTTAAGATATTTTATAGTTTTTTGCATCAAAGTACGCAGAAATATACCAAAAAGCAACAGATTATCAAATGTGGGTGTTACATAAATCAGTTGCATTTGAATAACAGTAGATTCAGAGAAAACTTCGCGTATATATCGACATAGGCAGCTTATGAGTATTCTGTACATGATATTACAATTTTAACAAAAAAAAGCATATATTTTTTATTACAATGTTTTTTAGAGATTTATATATGCTTATTTTACTATAAAATTCTGTTAATCTATCAACTACAGATTGACCTGAATTCACTACCTTCAAAGAAAAGCAAAGTAGAGCCCAATTATAACACTATTTTATTGGCAGCAATGAAAATATCAGAAGCACAACTATGCCATCTTCCTTTGGGTTTTAATTCTTTGCATAAACCAGACCCTTTTCGGCATTGCGATGCATTTAATTGTTATTTTATTTTTTTTTTCTCAATACAGAAATGGTTATCATTTTAGCCTGTGACCACACATATCACAATTCCTGCTACATCAACAATGGATCTAGATGCCTATATTGTCTTGCGTTTTTACAGGAGAGTTTTGACAAATAGTCCAGTTATTATTAACTAGTTTAAAAAAAAAAAATTCTAAGAAGAAACGAACTAAAAAATTCAACGATTCTCTTGATGATGGTGATGATAATGAAAATGATTTAGTAAAATTTTTGTCATTTGAGTTGAAAAAAGTGTTGCAAAATTTTTAATTATTGTACTAGTAAAATTTTTTTGTATATAATTTTTTTATATATTTTTAATAAATGGTATTTTATTATTAAATTATTACAAATAAATTATTACAATTTTATTACTTTTTATTACATTATTACATGTATTAATTACAATTAATTTTCATCATACACTATACAATTAAATTTATTGAAACCAAATTATAGCGGTTTGTAAAAATTTCTAAAATTTAAATTGTTTGTTTTTTATATTTTCGATTGGTTACATTCATATTTCTTTGAAATCAATAAAATTCTTAAAATTAATAGAATTTTCGATTTCAAGATGACATAGTGATCTGCAGAGGTCACATTTTTTTGCAAAGCATAAGAATGATGAATTAAATCAATCTTTTCCTATTATTCAAGTTTATACAGTAAAATAATATAATTTTGTTGGCGAATATATGATATATAGGCTACAATTAATTGACCAATTGTAGCTATGCCATCAATCAATTAATTAAGATCAAAAAATTGTAATTAATTGCTATCGCAATCAATTATTTAGTAGGCTTGCATCTAATTATGCATAAAAAGTTTCAATAATATATAAAAATCATGTATTTTGATTGGTTAATTATCACGGGTGATCATGGATAGATCTATAAAAATTAACCAATCATATGAATATCTTCTCATGAGTTCGGACCTCTAATTTGTATGCAAAATTAGCCACCAGAGGTTTATTAATACTGTAAAAATAAAAATAATTTATCTGAAATACCTATAATTTATCAATAGAAATATAGTTCATAACACTTGGGCTTTTGATATATTAACTAATTAAAACTATATCAAAAGCCCGTCACCAAAAAAATTTTAGACAACTTTAAATAATATCTTGTTTTGTATTTAAGTAATATTAAAATTATAAATCATAAAAATAATAAATTTGATGCTTCTCTTTTAAGTTTACAGTTTGCTTTTTTTGATTATTATTTTATGAGATATTAAAGGTTAAAGTTAAATGGTTTCTTAGATTTTGGACTAAATATAGTTTTTTCTTCGTGATATCTGATATGAATTTGTAACCAATAATAATTAAGCCACGTGATTAAAATCAGGTAAAGATTCCAAGTATAAGTGATGTAAACTACATGTTGTTGATATATTAATGTAGTAAGTAGTATAAAAATCGAAATCAAAATGCCAATTGAAATAACAGGGTTTGATAACGATCTGTTTATTTAGAAAATAGACTCAGCAAAATGAAACTCATTACTGTACATTATTTTACTAATTTAACCTTCTTTTGTTTTGCTGATTCTATTAATTTTTCTGTATCTTTAAATAGCTAAACAATCTGTTCTAAGATCTCAGTAACCCCTTCCTCAAAATTGCTACTCCAATTAATCGAAGTTCTCTCTTCTGAATGGATTCTATATTCTGGTTTATCTCCATTCATACAACACTCGAAAAAATACTATAATTTACTGTCAGTAACTATTCCATACGCTTTATTAATAACAAAATCATCTTCATGTTTTCTCTTTCGAGAGTTTTATAAAATAACAGAGTTAGGTTCGAATAAAATTAATATAATTAAGTTCATATTTTTACTTACCTCAAGTGATGAATGAAGCTGTACGATTATTTGTGCTGTTTCTTGTATAAAATCATCTTTTTTTACTTCTAAAATGCTAATGATTATATTTTCCAATATCATACAAAAATCTACCAGTCCACGGCCATATTTCCCTTGGACATATTCTTCAGGATATATTTTAACCTTCTTACCACATACGGAACTTGCCACCACAAGAAAGGGTAATACAAATTTGCTATTATAAGCTTCTGAATTATCGTGGATTGTTGATCAATGGATCTTTAAATCTTTAATAAAATGCAACAACAACTTTTGAGACTTGTCATCTTCAAGTTGATTGGTACTGCAGGTGAATTTAAAAATATCCTTGTAATGAGTTGGCAATTTGAATATCTCGCTAACAGCATTGAGAGTCCATTCCGAATATGGTTTTTGTATAGTATAAACATTGATTTTAAGACTTAGAGAGTTCGTTGCAATACAGGACTTGAGATATTGTTCATATGAATTATCATCAATTAGGCTTTGCTCCTCATTATTTTTGGCATTATCATTACTGCTACAAAGAATTAAATCTTCTGGATCAGCTTCTTCTGAAAAAGATAATTGGTTGTGAATATATATCTTTAGTTCTTTTAGTGACAAGTTGGAAAAGTCAACAGTTCAGCTAAATTTCTTGCTCTTTTTCGCATACAATGCCTTGATTGAAAATACTGTGAAAAATTAATTAGAACTGAACTACATAATAACTCAACTCACTATAAAATATAATATACCTTTTTGCCGATCTCGCAAAAATTCCAATCCTTTCTTCAATTCTAGTACTTCTTGTTTCAACATAAATAGTTTTTTAACTATGATGTGGATATAGTATGAGGCCCAAGTTAATAAATGAAATTATTGCAGAGAAAGCAGTATAGGTTTGGAATATTTGAATGCAGTCGTGGTACTACTTACCCTTTTTTTCACCTTTAATGTCTTTAATTAGTTTTGAGATTATTTTCGCTGGCTCTCTAAGGAGGTCGTAGGGGCAAACTAAAAGTTTTTTATAAGATAAACCAAGGAGAACATTTTCAGAAACCTTGTTCTTTTCAATTTGTCTGATATCTTCATCGTCAAGGTCAAGGTCTAGCTCCTCTTTTTTTCTTTAATAAATTTGTTAACATTATCTCTCTTCTACTCTCGAAACTCATCGACTGACAGATAAAGATTAATAGACATAAGTATTTTTTGTTTTGCTTGAATAATAGTTGTACAGAGTACGTTCTGCCTTTTTATAGTTTATACAAACAATCAGATTGTCGTATAACAGGTCACATATTGTTACACATAAAATGACAATACCGATATTGTATTTTTTCTATAGATGTATAACGATAGATGAAACTAGTGACGTAAATAAGTCTGCACTATAAAAAGTAAGAATTTTTTATTCGTTATCCAAGCGTATAAAAAAACAAAAAATTAAAAACTATTTATATTTTTTTTTGAAGAGGTGTGACATCGATGTCACAGTAAAGTTACAGCATGGAGGACATTCGTATCAGAGACTTCAGATTTTTGTAGCATGCTATTTTTTAGCAAATTAGCTAGCAACAATTGTTTTGTACTAAGATGCGAAATTTGCTACTTTTCTTTAAGTATATGATTTTATCTTTGTACTTGAACTGATTTACGTAAACGAGTAATTATTTGCATATTTTAGATGATGACTGAAGAACTTACTGAAATGATAGATGAAGAACTCGCAGAAGAAAATATGATTATATTAAAATTTTATACTTATAAATATAAATTTATAATAAGCTATTTTGCTAAATTTGCCAGCTAATTTTGCTAGCTAATTTTGCTAACAATATTCAGGTCTCTGATTCGTATTTAAAATGCACCATAGGTGTTGTTGGTGTTAATATGTTTTTAGTGAAAATTTAGAGTTAGATGCAACTTTAAAGTAAGATAAGAGTTGGATATAAATATTCAAAATTTAGTTAGTATAAGGTTTTTTGAAGTTCTGAACATTTTTATTTAATATCTCAGTAATATATTAGTTAGTATATTTTTGAGATATAGAAACTATGGTGTTTAACACCTATGGTGCATTTTAGAAACTTGTAAAAAAAAACTAACATCATATATAATTAAATTTTTTAGATTGCTATATGTTTTTTTAAATAGTACAAAGAAATTGCTATTCTGATTGATTAAATCATATGATGTTTACAAACCCGAAAATTTTTGCAAAATGTGATCACGAGCTAATCACAGTTGAAGATCAGGTGTAATATAACACAATTCAAAAAATTAAAAACAACCTATAATTCAAAAATCTATATAGGAAATTATCTTTAGTGTTCTAACAAAAAGTTTTTCTTGAGCGATTTTACTATATATCCTTAATAATATGATTTAATTCTAGCCAATCAGAAAGCAAGATCAGATGTAATATGAAAATTAAAAAAACAATTGCTCTTTTCTGAAAAGTTATATTAATCCCAAAATTTCGCTTAAGAAATTACCTTTTGCGTACTAACAAAAAAATTCCTTGCAAAATTTTGGTATAATGCTGTCTACTAACTCTAATCTAACCCCAACTAAAATATCACATTATAAAAGGAAGATAATATGTAAATTGGTGTGAATAATTCTAGTAAATAGAAATTAGGGAAGAAATTAGTAAAATCAGTATTAACAACCTTTTAAGAGTGGGTAGTTGATGTTTATATATAAATCATATAATATCATATAAAATTTGTTACACAAAGTTGATCTACAATCTATTTTATATAAAATTGGAAATTTATATACCCTACCCTTAAAGTTTATTGATGTTTAGATTAAAGTTTGTATTAAGTATACAATATTGGGCAGATGATAAAAAAATTTCCTGTTATTTGAAACAGGGGGATATTCGTTTCTGATGAATTTCGGGATCAATATTACACAAGTATTTATATAGGATAGTAGTATAAAACCAGAATTTTTGGGTATTAATAAACTTAAAAAAAATTAAAATAACTGTATAATACTTTACTAATTAAATAACTTCTTAGTGAACATTTTGTTAAGAAAGTCAAGTTGAATCGCATTGAATTGCGCAATAAAAAGTAGATCTACTAAGAGTTGAAATACTGTCTACTGTATAGTAAAAGGTAAAAAAAATATATTGTACTGCTTAATTCACAAAGTTCAATGTTGTTTTTTCT